CGTTTTTTCTTGCACGTGGTTTTGACGTCGAGGACCGAAGAAAAGGGGGCTCTACATCTCTCTCACTTCATTCGGGTTTTTAGAGGCCGAAGGGACGGCAAGAGTATAATTTTCTCCTCGTCTCCCCCTTCATTACCCCCAGTGTGGAAGTCACGCGTCATTCGGTGGCGGGGTTTGTCTCGCGAGGGTGCAAAGAGCAGGCAGAAAAACGTCGAGGGCCATCCTGAGGCGCTTGCGCTGACCTCAGGTACTACTACATTGATAAGCAGCCTGAGAGGGCCTCGTGGAAAATTGCTCAACAAAAGATGGATATTATTGTTTTTGGTTGAGAAACAAGCAAGCAAGCGGCTTGGCTTTTGACTGATCGAGCCCTCTAACGTGGCGCGGGCACGAACGGATCAATAGAGGGGCCGTTCGAAGACACGCGCTTTCCCAGAACGTCGCCTGGTCTCTGTAAGGTTGCGCGACAGAGAGAGAAAAGCTTACGGAGTATTTGATAATGTTCTTCCCTTGTTTTTTTTTTTTTTGCATCCGAGCCGCGCTGGAGGGGCGAATAACACGGCCAGCGAATAATTTCAGCTGCTTGTGTTGCAGCCAGCAGTGCCCAGTGTAGTGCATGTCTTCGGGAGAGAAATGAAATCAGTTGCTTGTGTTGCAGTCAGCCATGCCCAAGTTGGAGTGCATGTCTTCGGAAGATCAAGAACCAGAATCATTGAACGCATTGACCTACCACATGTAATTCAGCTGCTGGCGTTGCAGCCAGCAATGCCCAGTGTAGTGCATGTCTTCGGAAGTTCAAGAAAAGGACTGATGGCCCTAATAAATTTCGCCCCCCGAGGAAGACCGATCTCGACGCAGAAGAGCTTGTGCGTTGCGATGGTTGCCAACGACGTGGCCATGCTTCGAGTTGGCGACGCGCGGGCAGCTTTCGAGAGTGGGGAAGGGTGGTGTTCGTGGCCAGCGGGTAACAGCCCCCATTTCGCCCGCGTGCGTGTCTTCCGACTTTTATTGGGTGTGTTCGGCTGCTTTGTCGCTTGGACTGCGATGTTCGTTTTCCTTTTTGTGTGGCAGTTCAGACAATCCATGGGGTCATTGTTTGTCCGTCGCACACGACTGTTAGCAGCAACAAGGAAAGAACAGCATTGAGCTTGTTCACCGTGCAGACAAAAGCGCAAGCAAAGATCTCTTTCGGAGGACGGACGTGCCTTGTTTGCTCTCTCGTCTGTGCACTTAACGAAACAAGCAAGCGTCGCCACCAGCAGCACTACTACCATAGACCTCTTTCACGCTGACCCCGTCTACAACAATGTTGGCGGAGTTTACCGCCTGGCCGTTCAAAACGCTCCCTAAAGGATGATTGTCAAAATGGTATTTCCATTTGTGGCAGTATCACCGTCAAAGGGTCAGCCTGCAAGACCTAACTTTGTCATGCTGACTGACCCTGTCAAAACAAAATTGGCGGTGCAAATTTTGGCGGTGTTTCGGCGGAGTTTACCGCCTGCTGGCCGTTCCAAACGCTCCCAAAGGGGTGGACGAATTGTGGCACGATCGTCCGAAAAAAACGCTCACGATCGACGACATGCCGACACGTGATGCTAAATGAGCAAATCGCAGCGAATTATTGTGCACCAACATCAATATTATCATCAACAATATACAACGTGGATCAACCTCCTCCCTCTCAATCAACGCAGCCACTGCTGTGGGACTGCTGTGGGTGCTTCCTTTTCTTAGGTACAGAACGGTCACAAACTCCCCTTACCCCTACATTGCAAAAATGGGACACTGCTGCCGACTAGGGTTATGCTTCTACTTAACAGACACCAAACCAAGGCCCAAGCCGACAGGGGGGCTCCGTGCGATCATGATGCGAAAACAGTAAACCAGTAAGCCAGAGCACGTAGCCGCGCCAACAACGTGTAATGGGCAACACAAACACCACCCACCAAATACGACGAAAGGAACAACGGGCCTTCCCGCCCAGTCTCCCAATGAAAGGTGGAGAGCACGACGAGTATACGCTCGACTGCTGTCATGCACAGCCGTCAACTCTGAGTCAAGCTGGGCGCTCCCAGTTGCCCCCCCCCGTCCCCCTACCTCACGGTGCTTCGTGATTTGAGAGCCTGGTCCGGTGAGAACCCGGCGTACTCCGTCCCGGCTTTGTAGGGATGCGATGTCAAATGTCTCACGACTACGGCATGCACGACTACGAGTACACCCGCACCCCCCCCCCCCCCCCCCCAAAAAGCCGGGGGGGGGTTCCCTACAAAACCAAAACCCCCGAAAAAACCTCCCGAAGGGACTCCTTTTATCCCTCCC